TCCACTGTTCCCTTCCACTGCTGTGTCTCTCCATGGAGGCCTCTGGTGTTGCCAGCAGTCATGGTGTCTGCAGGTTTGAATCTCTCCTCCCATACAGAAGTCCCAACCCTTTTGTCAAAGTTTCTGTCCTTGCTCTCCCCATGGGCTTCAGTTCTTGCTTTAGATTATTCCTGGGTCTGGGGGACTCACTTCCCTCTTTCCTTCCTTGTCTTCCTTGCATTGCTATGTTCCAGTGTCTGGATGGCAACTCTCAGAGGGGCCCTTTCTCAGCTACTTACCACCTTGCAATCTTCCCAGAAGTTAAGACAGAGCCTTATTATAAATTAGTTAAAAAAAAAAAAAATAGAGTCTGTATAATCCAGGTTGTCCTTGAACTCACAATCATCTTACCTCAGTCTCCTGAATGCGAGGATTGTAGGAATGCACCACTATACCCAGCTCTATTCTTATTTTTCGAATATTCTTCTATTTTGTCAATAAGATTTCATAGATTGAGAGAAATTTTCTATCACTAATGCGCTGCTGTACCTTAGATTTCTCCAATTTATGTATTTTTGCTTATCTCCTTTATTCTATTGTATCTATTTTCAGCATTTCTAATGCATTTTTTAACACATTTTTTACTGTATCAGTATTTCCTAAATTTAAGTATTCATCAAAATCATGTTAAATACAGATTGTTGGGGCCCCACCCTCAAATTTTCTGATTCAAGAGGTGTGGGGTGAGGGGCTGGGGATTTAGCTCAGCGGCAAAGCGCCTGCCTGGCAAGCGCAAGGTCGTGAGTTCGGTTCCTGGTACCGGAGAAAAACCAAGAGGTGTGGGGTGGTGCCTGAGAACTTGGGGGTGGTACATGAGCTTATGCTTATCCTAATTCTGTTAATAGTTATGTTTACTCTGATTGCATTTATTGGCATAAATAGTATGGTTGCTATATGGTATTTTTATTGTTGCCTCTTGTGTGCTAGGCAAGGGGTCTAACACTGAGCTATAGCCCCCATCTGATTCTTTTATTTCATGTCATGAATTATATTTTGTATTTTGCCTCACTTTTTTTCTTTTAATTTTTATTGTCTTTGGTTGTCTTGTTTTGTTTTATGTTTATATCTATTTTCTAAAAATTTGGAAACCTTGTATTTTCTTTCTTTTCTGGGTTACCTTTATATTTATAACTTTTTTAGTTTTCATCCTTGATTTCTTTACGCCATATCTATTTACTCCTGAGTAGGGGTAATAGGGAGATTAGTATCTTTTTAGTCTCCCTTTTCTTTCTACCAACAGTTAATGATTATGATTATTATTGTAGTTTTATTTTTTTAAATCTAAAAAAATTTTTTTGAGACAGGGTCTCACCATATAGTGCAGGCTGACATTGAACTTGCTTATGTAGCAGCCCAAGCTGGCCTCGAACTTGCAGTGATCTTCCTACCTCAGCCTCCTGAGTGCTGGGATTACAGGTATGTGCCACTACACCCAGCTAATCTAGCTTTAAATAATGCCATTTGCAAACTTCTTTTCTCTCTATGTATATGAAATTCTTTATATCTTTGCCTTTGATCTATTGATCAAGGTCCTCTCCCTCATTTCATCTTTTTTTGTCTTTTTGAGACAGGGTCTCACTCTGCATTTCAGGCTGGCCATGAGCTCACTTTATAGCCCAGGCTGGTTTCGAACTTGTGACAATCCTCCTTCCTCAGCCTCCTGAGTGCTGGGATTATAGGCGTGTGCCATCACGCACGGCTCCTCATTTAATCTTGAGCTTCATTTTTATTAAAATGCCCTTACATTTTTAGCCCAGTTGCTCTAATCTCTGAGCTCCCATCCTGTATCGTGGCTTGAATCCTAAGTGTCCATTATGTTATATTTGTATTTTTCATTTTGATGTCTAACATACATTGAAGCTCAATGAGATGAAAACCAGTATTTTATCCCTCTTGTCTATACTTTTTTTTTGGGTGGTACAGAGATTGACCCCAGAATTGTACTGAGCTACTTCCCCTGCCCTTTTTTTGTTTTTTATTTGCATATAGGGTCTTGCTAAGTTATCCAGGCTGGGCTTGACTTGTAATGCTCCAGCTAGAAGAGTGCTGGAGGAGTACTAGAATTACAGTTATGCCACCACACCCAGCTTTTGTTTACATTGTTGAGTACAAAATGTTTATTATTTGTGATTATTGCAAAGCTGCAGTATTAAAGGATTTCATCGAAGTATAATTTACATTAAAAAGTCACCATTGTTATATATATTAGTGAATTTTTGTAATTGTGCATAATTATACACCTACTACCCAGATCAGGGTGTAGCGCTGTTTCCCGAATGGGTTGTACCATTTTTCATTCCCACCAGGAATGTATGAGAGCGTACAGTTGCTGTACACTCACAGCTGTGTTGGCAGTCCTTTTAACTTTAGGCATTTTAATGGATGTGTAGTACATCTCATAGGAGCTTTAATATGTGTTTTCATGATTACTAGATTGAGATAAATTTTTATTTTTGGGTGCCCTAGTATCCAAATTTGAACCTACAGCCTTTTTATTGAACTTCAGTCATCTGCCTCAGCCTTTCAGAATGCTGGGATTATAGGCATGTGCCACCAAAAAATGAACTTCTCTAATATGTTTAATTGGTGTTTAGATATCTTATATTGTGAAATATCTGTTCTAGTTATTCTCCCATTTAAAAAACTAGATTAGTATCTTGGCATAGCAGAGCATGCCTGTAATTCTAGTGCTCAGGAGGGTGAAGCAGAAGGATTGCCATGAATTTGAGGACAACCTGGGATAGTGAATTCAAGGCCAGCCTGCACTATAAAGATCATGTTTCAAAAAGAACAAAACAAAACAAAAAAAGATTAGTTCCCTGTTTATTACTGAGCTTGAAGAGTTGTGTATGTATGTATTTAGAGATACAAGCTCTTTATCAGTTTACCCTGGTTTATCAGCTTATCCTGCTTTGTAGTGTGCCTTTTTGTTTTCTTAAGTATTTAAGGGACAGTAATTTTACTTTAGAGTTTACTTCACTATTTTTCTTTTCTTTTTTTTTTTTTTTTGGTATCGGGAATCGAACTCAGGACCTCGTGCTTGCCAGGCAGGCACTGTGCTGCTGAGCTATATCCCTGGCACTATTTTTCTTTTATATTAATAGTTTTAGTGTTTTAAGTCTATGCTTCATTTTGAGTCAATTTTCATGATATACAGATGGGCAGAGACATATTTTTCTCTAATTTTGGAAATGACAGCATTGCTGTGAGATCTTGCAATAATTTGTAAAAAAAAATGAAGATAAAATGTTGAAAGAAAAGGATCAAGATAATGTCAAAGGTTTCCAGCTAGTGGATAGAAAGTAAATAAATGTTTTAGAGAGAGCAAGAAAAAGACTCTTCATAGGTGCAGAGCTTGTATATCAGTTGGTAGTGGGCAAAATAAAACCAGAGAAATGAATAAAAACATGGCTTGATAGGAATAACAGGTTTCATATCCAGAAAAGATAATAAAAATAATTAAAATACTATAGTAAATCATACTTAGAAACAAAGGGGTTGGCTTTTTGGTCTTT